GGGCCCCACCAACGTGGAGAGAAAGGGACGAACAGGTATAAAATCGATCTAGTCTTTTATTTGGGGTGTGGAAGGGTGTGTGTGTGTCCCGTACAGTAGCATCCCCCACCCCACACCAGTGTGAGCCCATGTCCCCAGCTCTGTGTGTGTGTGTGCGCGCAGGGGGGGCTCCAGCGTCAAGGATGGGGTGCTGGAGAGGAGCCCCTTGCCTGGAGGTAGTACTGCCCCCCACCTACCCTTGCAGACTGCATCACAGCCCCCTCCAAAAGAGATGCACAGCACTAGGGGCTGCCAGGGTGAGGGGAGGGAGCTGAGTGGTAGTGGTGGTGGGGAAATTGGAGACTCCCAGAAAAACAGGGAGGGGGGATAGGAAAAGCCCTTGGTGCCATCCCTATAGCCCTAGCAGTGGGGCAGGGGGGCTACAGACCCCCAGAAAGGGGATCGAGGTGCTTCTATGACAGCTGGTGACCCCCAAGTCTGGGGGAGCAAAGGCAGGGATCACTTACAGGGTGCCCACGTAAAGGGGTGTCCATTCTTCCCCCCCAGCCATGCACCCCAGGAGGGAGATTCACAGCAAATTGAAACACACAGAGTCTTAGGCCCCTTGTGCCCAAATATCACCTGGCCCCATGGAAAAGGGAGGGAAGATCTAGGTGGCTTGGTAGAGGTCCTTGCGCCTCCGCACCTCCTTGAGGACGCGGGCGCGGAAGGCATCGGGATCCTCTCCCCCATCCTGCCACAGTCCCAGTGCCTCCTGCAGCTCCGGCCGGTGTGTCCGTAGGAAGGGGTTGTAGGTCTGCTCTTCCCCCAGTGTGGAGGGGCACTGTGGGACCAGCCATTCAGCTCCCCTGACAGAGGCAGCACCCCTGGCAGGGAGCTGGAACCCCTCCCAGAACCCCCTTCCCTTAAGGAACCCGCCATGAAAGAGGATGTTGGGGTGCAGCATCCCTGCCAAGGGATGGGGATCCCTGTGAGGTGCTGGGATGGTGGGTGCTGCAGCCAAGGGACCCCCATGCCTCACCGTACTCCTCTTCTCCTGGCGCTGCTGCACTGCCCACTGCAGCTTCTGTTCCAGCGCAGAATTGTCCAGCTCCAGGAGGCTGGCAAAGGTCAGGCACTCCAGTGCATACTCGTGGCCTGTGGACCCCCATACACAGCCCTCAGCATCACCCCCACACAGCTCCCCAGCTTGGCAGTGGGGACTAGGGGGGACACCAGTGACTTTACCCCGCTGTTGGGGACACTCACCCGGCCACAGCAGCGTGTCCTGACCCAAGCCCACGGCCATGTCCAGGGAGGCGAGCATGGTCTCAGGGGAGCCCTCGAATGGCCTGCCTGGACCCCCGCACAACTGCTTGTCAAGAGGGGGCATTGGGAGGTACCCCCAAGCCCTTCCCAGGGTGGAATAACACCCCAACACCCAGGTCAGGTGCACTCACCACAGCCAGCGAGGAAGAGGAGGTCCCCGGAGAAGAGGCAGGGGGGGCTGCCAAAGGGCTCCCCGTCCAGCACGTACACCATGTGGCCCACAGTGTGGCCAGGTGTGGCGAGCGCCTCAAAGGTCAGGCAGCCCACACTCACCTTCTCCCTGTCTGCAAGTGGGCTGTGCCGGGCACAGAGGGCACTGTCAGTGTGCTCCCCCCACCCCCAGCACCTCAAAATACCCAACTCCCCAGGCAACCCTTCCCCACACACTGGTGTTATGAACATGCCAGGTCTCTGCCCACGATGGGGGCAACACGGTACTTGGGGGATGGAGTGGTAGGTGAGTGCACAGACAGTGGTGGTTGGGAGTGAACCCCCCCCCTAAATTGACAGGGCTGCCAGGGGGGCGCAGGACTTACTTGGTGAGCTGTGGGATGGCATCAAGAGCGCTGCCGTATACTTTGCAGGAATTGTGCTTCTGGCAGAGCGCCGCGTTCCCCCCGCTGTGGTCCCTGCAGACGGGGAGGTCAGCAGCCCTAAATGTGCCCCCCCCTCCATATCCCTCCCTAAATGGGGCAGGGCTGGGAGCCATCAGATGGGGCACCCTCCATGGCAGCCACTGACTCACCCCCATGTCCCTCCTTGCCCCTTACCAGTGTTTGTGCGTGCAGAATATGGCCTCCAGCATCACCCCCTCTTCTTCAATGGCAGCCTGGGAATGGGGAGGAAACAGAGAGATTTGGGGGGGACACAGAACCCAAGTACCAGTATCTCCCTAAATTCAGTCCCCCTCAAGGCGTTGGATGAGCACTGCCACACTCCAGCCTTGGGCACTAAGGGCTGCAGATTAGGGGCAGATTTGCCCCCCTCTGCCCTCAAAGTACAGAGTTGTGCCACCCCCTCACCTGGAGACACTCGAAGACCAGATATGGGTGGCTTAGGGGGTCTCACCTGCACAGCCAGTGGGTCAGAGGGGTCGACAACGGCCGCTCGGCTGGAGCCAGTGTCGATGACCAGGTAGCTGTAGTTGTTGGAGAGCACGGGAATGGGCAGGATTTTCACCCCTAACAGGGACAGACAGATAGACATCAGAGCATGACCCCCTGGGCTGGAAAAGCAGAGGTCCAGGCCATACTCTAGCATCTTACATCAAATTCTTAGTTAAGTATGCTTTGGGCAATTTGGCGATGGCAACCCCTCCCCACCTCAGAGTGCCAGTGTTGGGGGACACTGTGAGGCCATAGTGTGGGGGGGGCTAGCCAGGACTTACCAGGGAAGCAGCAGGGTTGGGGCACAGAATGGCCATGTGGGTACCGCTCCCGGGCCTTCTTCACCTGCCGCTGGTAGAAGAGGTAGCCCAGGCGCGTGCGGGCATACAGGCTGTACCTGGGGAGGGCAGACACCCCTTGGCATTAACCCCCAAATCCCCTAAGGAGCCCGCGTGGGGAGGGGGCTGCTGCCTGGACTGGGACTCTCACAGGGGACACATACAGGGTCACTTTCCATGCATGGGGGCTGGAAGTGGCGTGAGTGTATCCCATACTCCGGATCTGCAGTGAAGGCAGGACTAATTTCCCAGCCAGGTCCCCTCCAGCTGCTCCAGGCAGCAAGGATGGTGGTGGGGGGGAACACTACTGTGGGGTGTCCATCTGTCAATCCATCTGTCCAGGAGGGCTCTGCTCACCAGGAGGGGCTGGAGCCCCAGGGCAGATTAGCACTCTGGCTGTCCCTACCCCTGCTCCGGAGGGGCCATGCCCAAGCCTGCCCTGGGTGCTGTGGTCCTGGGGATGAGGGAAGAGGGAATGGGCAAGGGAAAAGGGAAGAGAGAAATGCCCCCGTGCATGTGGGCATACAACAGACAAAGGGTGGGGGCTCGGAGGGACCTCCCCATTCATACAGCAGCGATTTAGAACGGGACGGGGAATGGTACCATGACGGACGTTTAAAGTCCTGGGTTGCAAAGCCCATTCCCAGCCAAGGGCACCCCTGGATGGTGACATCCACCGGCAGGGACACCGGGAGGGAGTCTCCCGCTTTTGTGGCGGTGGGAACCCCAAGCCGGGGAACGGGGGCTTCTGCCAGCACTGGCAGCCCGGCCACGGCCGGGGCACCGGGATGGGTCAGCGATGACGTCCGAGGGAAGGCTGC